CTCTCAAGCCTTTCGGGGAGAGGTTATGGTATTCACAGGAACGTTATTGGAGTCCATGCACGCACCCTCAAACGAGCACACTACAAATTGAAGGTTTCCAACCGCATCACTAATRCATCTTATCACCACTGTCCCAGATTCTCAATTCATGGCACTGGACAAGGGTCTGCCAACAGTCCAGTTATTTGGGCTCTCTTGTCAAGTAGACTGTTTGAAGCTCATAACACTGAATCCTATGGCATGACATTCACCAGTCCAGATGGCACTCTCTCCTTCTCCATGTCAATCATTGGTTGTGTGGACGACTCCACTGTCATCACTGCCTCGTCCTCAGATGCTTCCCTTGATGATCTCTTGGACAGACTCCGATCTGACGCACAACTATGGCATGACCTTCTTTGGTGTTCAGGGGGGAAGTTAGAACTTCCAAAATGTGGCTTTCACCTGTTATACTATGATTTCCAATACATCTCTGAATCTCCACTGGATATGCTTCCTCGTGTGCTTTACACGACTGGTGATATCTTCCTGACTAATCCTCTTGGCGACCCAGTCCGAATTGCTTCAAAGAACATCTTCACTCCACGCAAAAATCTTGGCCACCACAAGTCCCCATGTGGCTCATACACAACTCAATTGAATGCATTAATATCCAAAGCTGATTCAATCTGCTCAGCCATTCACCAATGCTCCCCCAACAGACCTACAGCACGCATGCTTTATGAAACAGTTTTGCATCCTGCTATTGAGTATCCCCTGCCCCAGTCCTTTTTGTCTTCCGCCCAACTGCTCAAGTTGGAAAGGAAATATTTTCCACGCATTCTCTCACTCTGTGGTTTTGCGCGCACTACTGCCAGAGCGCTCCTGTTTGCACCAGTGTCTACAGGAGGAGCAGGTTTCATCCCTCTGGAGGTCATCACTGGCAGAACCTACGTCACCCATTTCCTGAAACATTGGAGATCCAATGATATTGCGGGAAACTTCTTAGGACTGTACTATGGTGGTTTCAATTATTCTCCGGCCTCTCCAAACCTGTCCTTGAATTTCCCTCCATTGCAACACCATATGTCCCTGGACAATTTCTGCATCATGTTTGGCAATATCTGACTACTATACAKGGCACTATCACTGTTGACACCACAGGGCTAGTGCCACCTCTCCGGCGGGGCGATCACACAATTATGGACCTTGCCCTTGCTAGTCTCCCTCAGACTGCCACTAAGATCTCAAAAGGTCATCTTCGCACGCTTCACAGGATCAATTCAGTTCGCATGTATCTCAAGATCCAATGGATTAGTGAACTGTGCCTTCCTGGTACAAGCAAGCTGTCCCCTAGCATTTTCTCCCACCAACGTTTGGAATTTTACCATCCTACCATTGCCTTTCCCTGTCAGCCCAAACCTGACAGACCAAGCTGGAATGCCTTTCACAAACTCCTGCAACAAGTCTCCAGCGGTTCTGTCTCTGACAGGATCCTGTCCAAAGCTTACCGCCTTGGCGACTGGCATCCTCATCATACTAGCCATGGGGTATGGAATGCTTATTTGTCTAATGATCATCGCATATGGACTTCACCATGCCCAGACAAGTGGCAGTCCCATCCTGTTGTACTAACCCAAATTGGACCCCCAGGATCATCACGTGTCTCTGGTAAATACCCTCCTGGTCAACATGTACCGGTTCTCACTTGGACAWCCCAAACAGATGGCTTTCAAATACGATCCTACCAGCGCACGTCAAGTTAGAACTGCCTGCAGCAGGTCTCTCAATCAAAAACCTCAGACATGGTCTGCAATCCTGCGCTGCCTCGCTCCATGGCAACTTCAACTCCTCAAGTTGGTCCAGTTTGAGACCAGCTCCTCCCGACCTCTAGATGTACTGGCTACCAGAACACCCCTTCTCATGGTTTCAGATGGATCAGGTAAAGACGGTTGCATGTCCTTTGGTTGGTCACTAGCTACCACAACTGGGGAGAGAATTGCTCATGCTCATGGCCCATGCTTTGGCAGGGAAAGCTCGCTTCGTGCGGAAGCCACTGGCTTGTTATCAGCTACCCTTTTTGTCACTATCCTTGTCTCGCATTTTCACCAATKGTGTCATGAACTGAACCCTTGCTTTCATTCCAAATATGGAATGAAACCACGATCTCATCCTACAGAGATTTCTACAGTACCCCTGGTACTTAAAGCTATCAGATCCAAAAGAGCTCCGATAACCCCTACTGAGATTTCTACAGCACATAGTACACCAGCCTCTACTGAGATTTCTGCTGCAAACTGTACCAAGAAGGAAAAATATAAAAAAAGTTCATTTCATTCTCGAATTGGCACCGAATTGGACAAAAACTATATTTTTTCTACAGGAAATTCTACTGCAAACAGTACTGCGCCCAGTCCCCAAGTGCGAAATTTCCAATTTGATTCTCAATCGGACAATGAATTGGAAACTTTCTCTACTCTTGTAAGTAACCTGAACGACATGCATCTCCAGGACCAACATCAACATCCTTCAACTTCAATCTCCTCTGCTACAAGCATCTCAAGTTCATCTTCCCCTACTAGCACCACAACACCCTGTCCAACACAGGTTACCTTTTTCAGTGACAACAAAGCGCTCCTGACTAGACTCTAATCCAGAAGTGAATACAAAGAAGTCTACGCCAATGCTACTCTATCACCAGAATTTGACTTGATTGAACAGATCTTTCAAACCGTTCAGTCTCCACACATCACTTGCTCATTCTCTTGGGTGAAAGGTCACCAAGATGGCAACATTGCTTTTGATCAACTTCCTCTGCCAGCCCAACTGAATGTATAGGCTGATAGTTATGCTGGGGATTTTCGGGCTCAAATGGATCAGCCGAATCTCATCACCCCAGTTTTGCCCTC